TTTTTTTTTTTTAAGATTTTATTAATTTGACAGAGAGAGACAGCGAGAGAGGGAACACAAGCAAGGGGAGTGGGAGAGGGAGAAGCAGGCTTCCCCGCTGAGCAGGGAGCCTGATGTGGGGCTCAATCCCAGGACCCTGGGATCATGACCTGAGCCAAAGGCAGACGCTTAACGACTGAGCCACCCAGGCCCCCTACCCGCCCCGCCCAAGAAACATTCTAAAGAATTGTTCTCTGTCTGGTTCTGAGAGGAACATTCTTTGTGTACCTGATCACTTTTAGTTATTTCTACCAGTTGCTTGGAGCCATACATATATTAAAGGTCTTACATACATTTAGGTTTATCTAATGATTCCAGGATTTGATTTGTATATTCCTGATTTCCTTTTCCTTTTTTTTTTTTTTTAAGACTTTATTTTTAAACAATCTCTACACCCAGTGTAGGGCTTGAACTCAACCCTGAGATCAAGAGCCAGCAAGGCACCCAATTTCTCCCTTTTCTTTCTTAAAGTCCTTCAGTGTATTATTACAGTGTATCAGCAGCTTATTTAGATAGAAAATCTTTGTCGGTAAGCATTAAAGACTCAGGTAGCCCTCATATCTAAAATATTTGGATTGGCCCACAAGGATACTTTGTTTCATAACTTAACCATATGCATGTATTAAGAAAATACATGTATATAGTATAGATAGAAAGCTCTGTGTCTCCTTTGGGGTATCCTAAAAGTCTAAAGGGTCATAGGTGACTGGTGAGATCTATAATATGTCAAGGAATGACATAATTTGTAGATTATTTAAACTCCATGTGCCTTTAATATATCTCTACAGAGAATCTGCATTCTGGTTCAAAAGAGATTTACAAAATACTCCTATAATTTAATTCTCATTATTGCCTGGTGCCAACCTGAATTGGCACTGTGAAGGGAGGCATTTTGTACTGCTGTGGCAGAAACATTCAAGACAATCTGTGTTTGGGCTTAATGGATCTAGACAATCCCTGTAAATAGATAATTATAGAAATGCATATTATTATATTATCTTCTAGGTAATGACATGGTCTTAAAAATAATGTACTAATAAAGTATGTTGATTTTTGCTTATTCTTGTATTACTCATTAACTTAGTTTATTAGCAGTGTTCCTAGATTACCCAACTGTAATAGGATTGCCCAAGTTTTTTTACTGTTTTGTTTTTACTTTAGGGACCTGCACATTTAGTTCTTACATTTAAATCTGTTTCCTGAGCGGCTATTAATGTGATCTTCCTCCAAAATATTTGACAATCTAACATAGTTCTAAATGTCCTGTCCAATGTACTTAAAGGCAGATGTACTTTTTTTTTTAAAAGATTTTATTTTTTTTTCAACAGAGAGAGAGGTAGCGAGAGAGGGAACACAAGCAGGGGGAGTGGGAGAGGGAGAAGCAGGCTTCCCGTTGAGCAGGGAGCCCAATGTGGGGCTCGATCCCAGGACTCTGGGATCATGACCTGAGCCGAAGGCAGATGCTTAACGACTGAGCCACCCAGGAGCCCCTGGGCAGATGTACTTTAAAATCAGTTTTTTTTAAAAGAATCATACACTGTAATTAACTTACAAAGTGCATTTACCTGCATTTGTGTAGTGAAATTGGGCAAGTAGCTTAAAAGTTATTTGCCCCATTCTTTTTTTTTTTTTTAAAGATTTTATTTATTTGACAGAGAGACAGCGAGAGAGGGAACACAAGCAGGGGGAGCAGCAGAGGGAGAGGGAGAAGCAGGCTTCCTGCGGAGCAGGGAGCCCAGTGCGGGACTCAATCCCAGGACCCTGGGATCATGACCTGAGCCAAAGGCGGACACTTAACGACTGAGCCACCCAGGCGCCCCTACTTGCCCCTATTCTGAAAGATGATGAATTTGAGATAAGAGAAGTTTTAACTTTGTGTAGTCCTCATGCAGTTTAGAAGCAAAGACGTTTCCTCACCAAAACACTATGAGTAGAATTGGGAAAGATCTTCTGAAGAGGATAAGCTTTTCTTCCTTCAATATCAGGCTCTAGTAAACTATTCTTTGCATTGATAAAGAAGGATTGTATGGTGGTTTCAGCTATGGGCTTTCATTGGTAAGCTTCTTAATGCTCAGAACAAGGTCTAGCTCTGTGGTGGTGTGCTTGTTTGCTAGGGCTGCTGTAACAAAGTACCACAGAAATTTAAATGGAATTTATCGTCTCATAGTTTTGGAAGCTGGAAGTCTAAAATCAAGGTGTTGGTAGTTGGTTCCTTCTGAGTGCTAAAAGGAAGGCACCTATTCCAGGCTTCTCTCCTTGGAATGTAGATGGCTACTTTCATGTATACGTGGCATTTTCCCTGTATGCATGTTTATCTCTAATTTCCCTTGTTATAAGAATACCAGTAATATTACATTGCAGCCTACCCTTAGGATCTCATTTTAGCACTATAACCTCTGTAAAGACCTGTCTTCAAATAAGGTCACATTCTGAGATACTGGGACAAGGACTTCAACACACAATTCAGCTTATGAAATTCAAGTTAACTAATATTTGAATACCTGTATTATACAAAGATAACATATATCAGGTGATACCATTTAGGGATTTATATTCTTATGCCATTTAAAATGTTTTTTCCCTTTCTATAAGACTAAGAATCTCAAGAGACGAAGTTTTCAAGTTAGAGTCTAAGGTGTTGCTTTTGCTTGTTTTAAAAAAGCTTCTCTGGGGGCACCTGGGCGGCCCAGATGGTTAAGCATCTGCCTTTGGATCAGGTCATGATCCCAGGGTCCTGGAATCGAGCCCCACATCGGGCCCCTGGCTCAGTGGGGAGCCTGTTTCTCCCTCTCCCTCTGCCTCTCCCCTTCCTCATGTGCTCTCTCTCTCTCTCTATCTCTGTGTCTCAAATGAATAAATAAAATCTTTACCAAAAAAAAAGCTTCTCTTTGAGTTAATGTGTAAAACTAGATAGCCCCGCTTGTAAGAACATCAAGATGGCTCCAGCTTGACTTTTCCTAATTTATATATACTAGTGACTTTATTCTTTTTTTTTTTTTT